AAAAAATTTTACAGAAAATCATCATAGTTGTTTATTTTCGATCTAGTTTTTCTTATTTATATAAGATAACGTTAAATCCTTTGTAAGGTATGGAAATCTTTGAAACAGTCGGTGATGCACAGACCAACATCGCATTCGGTACATTGATAGCGAGTATCACGTCGTTCCGTATTGCTGCAAACATAACATCTTCTTTGAGGAGTCTGTTTGCTTTCATTTGGAGGAATTAAAGACGGAAAATGTCTGGCCGTCAATCGTAGTGGATGAGCACTCAATGGTCTACCAATATGTGACCTCATAGAGCCGTACTTTGAGATGAGGTCTCGAATAATTTCTAATTTAAATTTGGAAAGCTGGAAGTTTTGATGCTTCATAGTTTTGAATAAAATATAACTATTGAGAACTGACAGATCGATTATGTAGAAAAAGAGTTTTTTGTACTATATTCTGGCTTTTAGAATGGATTCCGAAAACTGCATATTCATAGTAGCTTTGTCTATAATACCCCTGTTTTTATGTGCTTCTCATGCATTATAAATAAAAGAAGAAAGAGAACAAAAGACAACCATATGTACACCACACTGACTGTTCTCTATGCAGACTCTTTTTTCTAAGACATAATTCTAGAGCATGCCATTATGAAATGATGGTATCACAAGCTTCAGCTATTTGATGCTTATCTCTATGCAGACGAATCTAAAAAAATATGCATTACGATTGATTGTGCTAGTTTTGTACGCTAATAAAGTTCATGACGTATATATACGTCGGTGTCAGTTAAAGGGTTAATTCTTCAATGAGCTTTTACTGCTATCATTTGTTCACATTACGAATCAAAATAAAATCAGAAATTTGTCGCCCAGTTCATCATATAGACGTTTTCTTTTTATTCCTTTGTTTCATTTCGTCTTACATGCAATAGCTTTATTCTATTTAACCCATGGATGTCGACAATCACTGGCAAATATGTTGAATAATCGTTCAGAAATGATAGCATAACTCGAACTGACATCTGATCAATGATTATAAGTACATTTGATGTTCGTATTTTAATGATAAAATTACTTATATCTTCATTAGAACAAAATATTTTTATATCAATTCTATTGATATATGCTTCAGTAGAAGTATCTTGCGGATGTCGATATTCTCTTCAACTCACACACCCACACCCATATCCAGATTTCATCGATACTCTTCCCGCAAAAATCTTCAATTATACATTTCACGTTTCCGCAATTCAAAAATTAACTTCCTTTTCGCAAACACAGCTTTTTTACGAGCACCTTGATGACTATATACTAGAATCCATATTAATAAAACCTAAACAAAATATTCGCGAACACATTATTCCAGTATATAAAAAGAATATTTCAAGTCAAACAGTGCACAAATATACCGGGATACCATAAAACATTTCCAGCAAACTTTTCACCATACACAACAACCATGAAAAACCAAAATACTGTCCCTCTCTTCAAACAAACCGCAAAGTTCATCCGCGATAGAGCCCTAAAGTATCACAAGTCTCCCTTCTTCTACTAACACAAACTCTAATTCTCTAGGGTGTGGGGTGTGGGTGTGGGTGTAGGTTTGGGTGTGGATGGGAATGAAAAGAAGAAACAGACCCACACCACACCCACACACCCACATCCACACCCACACTCACCCACACCAACACCCTACCCACACCCACACCCAAATCGCTCTCTCTTGCGTTCAGTCATAGTCAATCGACTGTATACATGTAATCCAGTCTATTGTATATGAACGATCCTCTACACTGGCTCTGTGTTTGTCAACTATCTATCAATATGAAAGAGCAAAACAAAAATGTTTCGTTTTGCTTGTCTTTTGTCTGTAGACAGGAGCATCCAAGAGATTAAAGATTCAAATTCGGATATTTGTTGTGATGTACTATAAAAAAGAAAGTGACATCAAAGAAAAACACATTCATTGATGAACTTACGCATTTACAATATTACTATATAAAGATAAGGGCATCATCGATTTTGCCTCGCTGTACTGAAATTAAAAGAAACAAAGAATTAACGATAAAGTCATTTTGCTGGTATACTCACTATGGATTGAACAACAAACAAGTGCTTGTCTATATAAAATTTAGGTTTAAATTTAATATCATCAGAAACATAATCAATATCCAATTGATTTTCACTTGGTTTATTTCAATCAATAGCATTATTTCAGTTAATTATTTCATCTTGCTATAGAAAAGGACACAACAAAAAAATGAAAACTAATGAATCTATATATCTTACTTGTCCATCTTTGATACCGGAATAATCAGATTTTAACATCACCTAATGAGTAATAATTAGACCTAGGACAGTTCCATATCAGTTCCGCTCTTGAGAACTGTTCAACCAGTTCTTTGATAGGAACTGATTTGTCCAACCAGTTCTTTGATAGGAACTGATCTGTTCAACCAGTTCTTTGAAAATGGTCATAATAGTCAGTTTTTGAAAAAGAATCGGACGCTTAATCCAGTTCTTTGAAAAAGAACTGGTTACAATAGCCAGTTCTCGAAAAAAGAACTGTCGGGTGTGTACAGTTCTTAAAAAAGAACTGCCGGGTGTACACAGTTCTCGTCAAAGAGATGGTCACTTTAACCAGTTCTCGAAAAAGAACTGGTCGCTATACCCAGTTCTTAGAAAATATACAGTTCATAGAACTGGGAACTGTCCTAGGTCTAGTAATAATAATTACAGTATCTCTATAATCATAACAATAACTTTTGTATAATTTTGCAAGAGTAGTGAGAAATGGATGTTTCTTCATTGGAAGAATCTAGAAACGAAATACATACATTGTACACAACATACTTTATTCAAATGAATAGATTCAATCGATAGAAGAATATTTATCTTTATCGTTTTCGTTTTGTTTAATTTTTATTTATACGGTAAATTCACATTTCTCTTACTATAGTTAATGGAGATACATATTCGACATTTATTTTTCTTTTTCATCGCCTAACTATTTGCTTCTATTCTTTTCTCTAAGAAAATTCTGCGTCGTGCTTATTTATTTGCCTTTATTTGATCGAACAGAAATCTAAAGTCAATCATTTTTACACAAAACACATTCAATATTAAAATTGAACTTTTGTCTTTATTATGATTAATTGCATGTAAGATTAAATGAAATTTTAAACTAAGAATAAGAAAATATCTAAAAGACCAGTGTGAAATAATTGGTTGTATCAGAAAATAAATTATCAATCATACATAAGCAAATGAAATTTATATTTCACGAAAAAAAAGTATTTTGTACCAGATTAATACTTAATACATAGATTTATAAGTCGCCAAAGGCATTCATGTTTCTCGATCATAATACTGAAAATATGATGAACTGCAACTATTTTCCACATTTTATTAAATTCCTATTATGGATTTTCCATTCTATTCATATTGCCGGATTAGTAATTTAAATCTGATATTGATAAGATCTTTGCCTGCATCGCAAAAAAATATTGAGTATGAGACGTCACTACTATCAAGTCAAATCCAAGAGAATCTTCCGTAAATGGAAGATTATCAAGTTTCTGTTTGTCATTTGACAAGGTACTGTCGATTTGAAATCAAACTGTGTAAATTGCCTTTAAATCGAAATATTGTCCTGCTCATCTCAACGTGTCATATTTCTATCACTATTACAGTAAGTGGTAAGTAAGGGTATGGGTGCGGGTGTGGGTGTGGGTGGGTGTGGGTGTGGGGTGTGGGTGTGTGGGTGTGAGTGTGAGTGTGGGTGTGAGGGTGTGGGTGTGGTGTAGGTGTGGGTTGTGGGTGTGGGTGTGTGGGTGTGAGTGTGAGTGTGGGTGTGAAGGTGTGGGTGTGGGGTGGGTGTGGGTTTCATTGAATAGAAGATTGACGTCCGCACCCACTCTATACCCACACTCACACACCCCACACCCACACCCACACTCCACACCCACACCCACCCGCACCCACACTCACACACCCCACACCCACACCCGCACACCCCACAACCCACACCCACACACCGCACACCCACACCCGCCCCACATCCACATCCACATCCACATCCACACCTACACTCACACCCCACACCCACCCACACCCACCCACACCCTAGCCACACCCACCCACACTCGCACTGTTCATCAGTCCACAAATTCTAATCCTTCAGAGTATGATCTTGAAACTATATGATAAAGCATAGGAAATAAGGCAATGTAAACTAATTTTTTTTTACATTTATTTTAAACAAATAGTTTTTATGTATGCAAGAGAAAAACAAAAACCATGAAGTTCTACATCGTCATTTTGTTTTCTTTTCTTTTGTTGTAAAAAAAAACCCCGTGTTTCGAAAAAACAACATCATAACATATTTTATTTCCTATGTTAAAATAGTTCAATGAAACTTATACAGGGAATATGCCAATCATTGTGACAGATTGAAAATATAATTTATAGTTAAATTAATTTATTTTATTTATTAGTTTCAATAAAGGATATAATTTTTCTATCTATGGAGAATTTACGACAGCAAAATACACAAAAAAATAAGAAACAATAATATAAATTTATTTATGACTTATTTGTCTAGTAAAGAATATTATTTCATAATTTTTTGATTTTTTGGTTTTTATCATTTTGTTTTTGAGACAATGAACTATTCAGGGTGTGGGTGTTGTGTGTGGATGTGGCTGGGAGGGTGAAGTGTGTTTGGTGTTACTAATGAGAAAAAGAACACCAATACTCACGCCAACATCACAGACACCCAAACTCATACCCACACTCACACCCATACAAAATCACGTAACACACATTTTTTTTAGTTAGCATTTGATTTATTAAGTCGATCGTAAAGGAATTTCATGTATCAGTTTATTAATTTAAATATATAGCACGCTTAAAAAAGAATTCAAACTTAACTTATCTTAACAAAACCATCATACACTATTAAAGGTTACAGAATAAAATAAACATTTATTTGCTGACTTTTATTTTTTATTAATTTTGTTTTAAAGCATCAAGCTCACGATCTATTGATCGTTTTAACATTTTTAATGTTTCAATATTTGTCCAATTGGCTTCTTTTATTTTGAATTCATTCAGTGCATTTTTAATAGCTTGATGTAATTCTTCTCCTGTAACAACATTTTTCTCTGCATTAAATAGACATGGCATACACTTTGCTACTAATAGTTTTATTTCACTTGTACATTTGTCATATATGGCACGTATTGCTGATACTTCCATTGCTCCAATAATACATGCAATACCTAGGCCAGCTGCTAAGAGTGTTCCAACTGTTGCTAAAGCTACTCCACCAGCAGTGAGTGTAAAACAGCATATACTAGCAGGTAAGAAATGCAGTACAAGTCCGATAACAAGAACTGTAGAGACAGCCGAACAAGCAACAGCGCCAGTAACAAAATTACGATATTTGTGTTTTAGACGATCACTTTCGATTGCCACAGAATTTAATACTTGAAGAATTGGACCAGATATCCGTTTACATTGTGCAATATATATTTCGAAAACTTGCAGCCAAGTTTCATGATATCGTACATCAGGTTTATCTAAAGCTTGTTCAATAAGAATTTTCGTTTCTTCAAAGAATGCAATTTGTGTACGAATATATGCTTTGTGTGCATCACTTAATACTGCATTACACGTTTCATATGTTCTGTGAGATATTTGTTTGTCATTTTTAATATCGATTTGAATTTGTTCAATCAATTTTGTTGCTTGATTTGATACCAGTTTGACAAGTTCTGGATCAATTGAAATCGCTGTGTGAAGAGTCTTTTCTGACATTGAGATAGGTCAATAAATACAAAGTTGGTATGTAAATTTAGTGAGTTTGTGTAAAATGTGAGGCTAGTGTATTTAAAAACACTGACCAATGAAGAGTAGTACAACGTAATGAGAATAGACAGACAACAAGATCAATCGCACATATATATATGTGCGAAAAAAATTCAAACTGCAACATAAAATAATACACAGGGAAAAAACCCAAAAGGCAGCATAAAATAGCACACTGGGAAAAAACCCAATACGCAAGATAAAATAATATACTGGGTGTGAGTGTGGGTGTGGGTGTGAGTGTGGGTGTGGGTGTGAGTGTGGGTGTGGGTGTGAGTGTGGGTGTAGGTGTAGGTGTAGGTAGGTGTGGGTATGGCTGTGAGTGACTGAGGGTGTTGGTGTGGACGTGGGCGTTGTTCTACCCATAACCTTTGCCCACACCCCATACTCTGCTTTGACACTTCACGTTCAACATATTTCTGTGATAATGTTCGCTGTCGACGTTTTCATTGTCAAAATTTGGCCAGACCGACATTTCCTTGTCGACATTTTTCTGTCAACATTTCGACACCTCACCTTATTTATCATTCTGATTGATAATACTCTTCTGACTATGTAATGAATCGAACAAAAGTTCAAAATACGCAAGTAAAAAAATTGTTTTTCATTAATCAACAAGTACTGTATACCTCTCATTCATTCTCTTGTTGAAAGTGAAGAATAGAAAGAAAAAAAATAATGAGACAAAGAAAGAGTGCAAAGAGTATACTTTTACATTGGCATACTATATTTAAACATTTTATAAATTCATCAGGCAAGAATATGTCAGACAATAAAAATTCAACATTATCACACAGTGAAGCCAAATCAAAAGAAGAGTATGGTTTAACTGGAGCAACAACTGGATCAAGTGGAGAACATTTAGCAACAACTGGAGGTAGTGCATTGGGTACTAGTGGAGCTAGTGGTGATATGGGAAATGAAAAATCCAAAATTGACAGATCAACTGATGGTATAGGGCCTTCAGCAACAACAACAGCATCATCATCAACAGTTGCTAATGATCAAGGAACACGTTAGATATGAAAAGAGAAGACTTAAAAACAGTTTAAATTTTATTGTATATAATTTTACTCCAGCATCTATAATAATGTTTCATTCACATGGAAAAACTAAATAAAATCACTATAGAAATTGATTTCGAATAAACTTTTGCCATATAATATACGCATATTATCTTACAGAACTTTTCATTAACAATTGCCTTTTTTTTGAGAATTCATGGAAAATTACACCAATAAGTTCACATTCGACTTCTGCAGATACAATTATTGCAGACAGTCAAATGTTTATAGTAGATAACAGTTTTTCAAGAGATGCTCGTTTATCATTCAATTTAAGAAAAATTCAATAATGAAATCATTTTAACGAAATAGGAAATCAGTAAAAACTTGATTCAATAATCATTATAGTCACATTGTCGACACGATGTTGGGAATGTGACTTTTAAAGTTTATTAAGTACACAAAAAAATTCATTTTTCACTAGAGATTTCATTAAATGAGAGAACGTTTCTTTCAATATGTACGCAACTATGACGAATGACCAAAAATGTTTTAAATAATACTTAGTAAAAGGGGCTAGAAGCATTTGTTTAGTTCGTCTAGAATTATAAGCCTAAAAAAAATTTGATTCTCGCATATATATTTTTTCATGGGATATCGCA